GATATTGTTATCGTTCTTTGATTAATTCATGTGGAATCCTATCCTATGTTAATTGTAGCTATTTTCCACCAGTTTGTAACTAAAATGATGCTTGTTCCAGCGAATTAGAAATTTAGCCCTAGCTCTTGAAAAGTCATAAACTAGAATCCTGTTTAAGCATTGAATTCTTGAGAATTTCTTGCATCTGTTAGAGTTACGGGCTCCTACAATAATTGTATGTGTTAGAAACTCAGTTGCATGTATGTTAGTCAGATTCAGTCAGAAAGTCTATATACTCTGTATTAGTCAGAATTGTCAGTTCAGTTTCGGTCAAAATACTAGAATATCCAGTGTTAGTCAGAAATGTCAGCTGATCAGTTTGACTATAAAATTTCTCGAGGTGTTAGTGGTGCCTCTCAGTTATCAGAATCAAACTCAGATTATAGTTTATTGGTCCATTAGGCGGTCATGACATTTCATCTATATACATTTATAGCTCTGACCAGCCCCAAGATCCCAATTCAGTTTACAGTTTGTTCTTAGACGGTTACGACGCTTCCAGATAAGCAACTCTGATCAGTCTAGAACCCAATTTCAGAATCTGGTCCAATAAGACTCTCAGGGTACTTTCAATTATATGTTCCTGATTAGTCTTGGACCCCAGTTCCGAGCTATCAATCTAGCAGTTTAGTATAGGTTTCCAGTGGGAGTAGGACTTAGTACCGAGCGGGTCGGGGTTCCAGCGCACCCAGGTTCCCAGAACTACGTTGCCAGCGTAGGTTACGGTATTACTTGGCCTGATTGGCCCCAAACTTTTGTGATCACCCAGTTCATGCCTTTATATCCTGGCAAGGTATATTGGGTCTTACCGGTGGGTTGTATACATCGGACTCCATGTCTAGCTCGCGTGGTTATATGTCGGTTATAGACTCTCCCACTAGTCAGTCCAGTCCAGTTTTATAATAAGCAGCTCAGTTCAGTTTCAGCTCTAGCTGCTCAGCTCAGTTTAGTACAGTATCTCAGACTTAGAACTTTCAGACTTAGGGCATGTCTTTGACCACCAGATAGGGTCATCTTGACCATCTCAGTTTACTTCAGATTGTTCAGTTCAGTTTATTAGTTGGTCATTGTATGTATTTTCAGTGCAGTCATTTATATATTTATCATTATGTTTCTCTCACTTACTCAGTACATTCAAAGTATTGACCCATACCTTTATGTTGTATCATTTTATGATACAGCCGTAGGCTCTCAGACCAGCACCGATAGCTGATTTCGTTCGGATCTCTCTATCAGCAGCAACAGTGTGAGTCCTCATATTATGAGGGTGTTATTTCATTCATTTCAGTTTTCTTTATCATTATCAGTTAGACTTAGAGTTAGCTGGGGGCTTGTCCCAACAACTCCTCTATTAGATGGCTTTTAGAAACAGACTTGATTTCAGATTCTCAGATATTTTAAATCTCTATGTTCAGTTTTTATTTTTTCATAAATGCTATTATGTGTTATTTCAAAGCTTCCGCTATGTATGTTTTACTAAGAATACTAGTGTATGATAGACCAAGGGTTGACTTAGGGTTACTTATGACTCCAGGTACCGTGTTCCATCCAGGGTGTAGACTCGGGGCGTGACACAGAAGCAAAAGCAATTTCAATAAAATGAAATTACGCCGACTAGAAATAAGTTAACCTAAACTTCTGGCTTCTAGGTTTAACCTATGCCTTGCGATTTTTTTTTTTTTTTTTTGCGATTTTCTTCAATAATATTAGGGGTATTTTTGGCCCATTTTTATTACTTAAAACGCTGAAAGGGCAAACATTAAAGCCCATTAGTTTGAGGGATAAAAATTAAAGACCATCCCAAAATAGGAAAATCGGCGCAAGAACTTGAAAAAGATTTCTGTTTTATTTTGAAAAAAATATATCCATGAACCTTAAATAACAGTGAGGAAATTAAATTTCTTAAAGACACGCAAATAAATTATACTGCTCGAAAAAAGTTTTATTGATTTTCTATCTTGCTTTGTTTTGTTGAATACAAGAGATAACAGTGCCATTATATTGTTAGACTAAGTTATCAGGAGAAAAACAAATCCATCTAAAATCTAAAGTTGGACTACTTGAACCCACATTTCCTTGCGGTTCCATCATCAGTCATCACCGTCTTCCATTTTATTGTCGGACTCTTTGTTCTCAATTTCTCCTTTTTCTTCTTTACAAGTTAAAAAGTGATTTTCTCCTCTTATTTCTCTATACATGTATTAAATAATTTGCTCACTTTAGTCAAGGGAATTTGGTCTAGTGGTAAGATTCTTGCTTTGGTTCCAAAAGGTCTTGAGTTTGATTCTCAGAATGCCTTTCTATATTTAGTGTTATTTTGCTTGCTTGGATTTTCATACCTTAAAGGGGCATCTCAGATTAAAAACATCTTTCGAGGTCTCAAAGGGGTATCTCAGATTAAAAAAAGGACTGAAGTTATCAAGAAGCCAAATGAACTATTTTTTTATCTTCCTTAACAATTTAATCTTTATTTTAAAAGAAAAAATAAGAAGAAATAACAGAAAGAGAATTAACAAGAACATGTGAAGAGAGAGAATTCTCACTGCCTATTTCATCATGGTATATTCTATGGCACTTTTCATACCTGTATTTATATTATTTCATAGAAGGTTACAAAGAAAAACAACTTTAAACATAACATTAACCTTTAAGATCATAGAAAAGGTTATAGTGGTGTCGAAGTTATCAATATAATGGTGAGAAGTAGCGAATACCTTTACAATACGTTTGGTACGACGGATAAGGGATAAATAATCCTAAAATTAACTTTGAGATGAGTTTATCCCATATTTAATTGGAATAAAATTTCAGAATAACTTATCCTCAGAATTATAGTGTTATTTTTATCCAAATTGAGGGTGGAATAACTAATACGGAAATAACTTCTTTCCCAGCCAAAGGATCACTTAAGAGTTATGAACATTCACAAGTTGTAATAAAATTTATGACACTTCCTATTGAATGTCCATTAATAGATAAAGTGTCTCATTAAAATTTTAGCGATAAAATATCCTATGAAAAAAAATCCCAGTGAAGAAAAAAAGTAACATATCTTGTGATACACATTGATAGTTGCCTTATTAAAAATCTTACCAAGAAAATTCAATGGGTTAAAATCTTGATTACAGAAAAAAGACTATAATGTATAGTTTATTCTCTTGATAAAAACATCATTTAATATCTCAGAGATGATGCATTACAATATTATATATGAGCTTCTCAAGTATAGAGATTGACAATGTCATAATGAACAAATCTGTCGAATTTTCACTTAAACGAACTTGTTAAACATTTATTTCACCATACACTTAAAGATCATGCATGGAAAAGAATTTTGATGAAATGTGTTTTGTTCTATCTCTTTTAGTGTATTCTCCTTTCTGTTGAGCTATGCATGCAATATTGTCTTCATACAATATTGTTCGACTATCCTTTATCAAAAGTAAACTTGAAAAAAGAATTTCAAATGCATGCAATATTGTCTTCATATATTCAATCTCTTGAATGTATTGAATTAATGATCTCAATCAAACACATTTTCAACTTGCTTCATGAATTACTACTATTTCTACATTATTTACAGAAGCAGAACCTATAGTTTATTTTTTTAAGATGCCATGATATAGTTGTAATCCCATATATAAATAAACATATTTAATTTGTGATCGGCATTTACATAGAACAATATGTGCTATTTGCATAATTAATCAATAGTTGTCACGATTCAAAATACCCCTTAATCCTTATGGAATCAGACTAAATCTGAACTAGGAGAATCAATCATCAAATACATGAAAGAAATTAATATATTTACGTAGATGATAATAAAATCTGATACAATGCAACAAATATAAGACCCCAAATCCAATCATAATACTAAACAACTCCAAGACATAATACTAACATCTCCAAGATTAGTAGTAGCATTGTTATGAGCAAAACTAAAGAAGTACAAGTGTCATCTAATACAGAGTTTTACTAAAAAGAAAAAACTTAAGATAATAGATGTTCTGGCTACTACGAAGAAAGGCAGGTGACTCACTGCCCTTCATCATCTTGGTGTTTCGAAGGCTATCGTTGACCCAAAGGATTGGCTCCAAATAGATTTAGCGATCATTTAAAAAAAATAAGCACTATTCCCTTGTGCTATTGATGGTAAAGATGCTAAATTGAATGCTGGAACTTTTACCTTCAATTTTCTCGGTGTGTTTTATGTTCATATTTCTTATGTATAAAGATAAAATCTCATGAGAGATTTAAGATAAAACCATTTTTCCTTTTAATTGGCACAAAGCCAATAGATCTCGTATAAAAAAATGCTGGATTAGATTGAATGCATGGTTAAAAAGCTATATTGACCTCTAATCTCCACAAGACTGGATCCTCAATGTTGGAACATACTTACTAATTATGCTAGAACTAAATCTAAACCTGCAAAGAAGTACAGTAAGTGTAGTGATGTTAGGTGTATTTACACAATTTTTCGTACTACTTTATGCACTTTGTACCTCATTTTGATTTGATTTTATGGAAAATACACCTAACTTGTGTTTACTATGATATAATTGACTAATTTTGGCTATTTCTATGAATATAGGTATCTTCGAGAAAAACTTCACAAGAAAGGAACGAAATAGAAAGAAAAGTGGTTAAGTATGAATGAAGTGCGAATTCAAAATATTGCACTACCCATCGCATTGAGATTCAATGTGCTTGTGACTATCTCCCAAATCCACTCCAATTTAGAAGTGTAAGCAGTCGATGCAGATATAATACCCAACAAGGAGTAGGGATCGAATCCATAGAAACTTTGTTAGATCTTGACTATCTAGCGTAAAGAGAGATATTATAACTAAGAATATGATTTGTTAGTTGAGAATCTATTTAAGTTAGGGTAAAGAGAGATATTATAACTAAGAATTTAAATGCTTCAAGTTGTATATCAATAGTAGAAAAAAATAGGGAAGTGTCCCCAAATTTGGGTTGATCTCCCTAAATCACACAAAAAAGATAATTGAGAATGGACTTATGGTGAATATGCAAGCAATTAACTTAGGCAACCGATATGTGTCTTTCAACAATTCCAATAGTGTCAATCTATATCAATTTTGTCAAATTGAAGAGAACTCCATTTTACACGATTGTCTTTTACCAATTGAATTTCTCCTATGTCTAGGTAAATTCATTAAACAAGGGTTAGAGCCTTGGGTCATTGTTGAGTGATGCTACTCGAACCTAAATTGGATTTCTCAAGTACAATAAAGACATTTGGGAAGGATTGAATGACTTTCATCACTAATCGCGCTTTACAAATCCCAAATCAATTAAATATTCTCAAGCTCATAATCAATTACACCCAATTATAATCATTAGGATATACAAACCCATAAGGTTCACAACCCTAGATCTGGGTTTAGTTACCCATAGCAAAAGAAGAAGAAGAAAGCAAGTAATTAGATATTCTTACACACAAAGCAATAATGAGAGAAGAAAAACTTGGATTGAGTAACTTGATCTTCAATTTCAATTATAATGCTAAGCTATAGAATAAAAATGGAAAACTAGCTCAAACTATCTCTGAAAATCTAATCTAGTTGAACTCTTAAAAAAAGACTATTTATACTAAGTCTCTAAAATCTCAATTTAATTCAAATGCGGAGGGTCCCAACTCGTACAGATGGACCGTCTTTTGAAAAGATAGTCCGCATGTTGAACTATCACTTGGTTTGGTATTCTACCTGACCTTGTCCATATTTTGATTGACAGACCATCTTTTGAAAAGACGGTTCGCACATTGAACCATCACCTACTTAAGTGTTTTGTCTGACCTCGATCCGTCTTATGATTAGCGGACTGTCTTTTGAGAAGACGGTCCGCATCTTGAATCGTCAATTGCATACCATTTGGTGGTGTTCTCTGGATCACAAGGCGTTTGAAGATACATACTGTCTATTACAAGAGTGGTTCGTCTCTTGCTCAAATTCTGGAAGACTTTAGTGATTTTCATGCCTTGTTTTATCAACTCATTGGGATCCTAAAATTTAGAAAAATAGAGTTAGTTTTGACTTAAATTAGTACTTAAAGGCATGCAAAACTCTATGAAAAAAAGTGCTAACGTGTCGCAAACTCCTAACACATTAACACCCTCAACTTAAAGCTTTTGCTTGTCCTCAAGAAACTAATATAAGAAAATCTAATTTAGACCTAGACTCATGTTCCGGCATCACAAGATGCAATGACTAGGGTGGTTTTGGCAACTAGCACATAATTTTCAAGCAAGTCAGCCCCTCTATCATGTAAAATCAGCTTTATCACAACTACTAAGACTAAGCATGCAATCTCTACTCATGACATCATTTCTACATGCAATACACCTATATTGAGAAGTAATTCATGCTAGCCATTATCATCTACGTGTCCTCGCATTTAGGTCAAGAAAAGTGTTCATTTTCAGAAGCAATGATCATATACACTATACATGCAAAAAATCGAGATAGTAGAGAAAAACACTCAACTCTCACAAGATAGGTCACAACGACCATATGCTTGCCTTTTTTTTTTCTCAAATGCCTTTTCTTTGAAAATTTGGATTGAGATCACATAAGGGCTTTTCTAAGCTTGTAGTTGGTCAAAAGGCTGGTAGGATACAAATGTGGTCATTTAGTGGCTCATTACCATACTTAAACAATACATCACATTCACATTTTTTTAACTTTATGCTCCCTTTTTTTTCTTCACTTTTTTTCTTTAGCAAATTTTTACAACCCAAGATACTTTTTATGAGCTCAAGTTACTCACTTTCTATTTTTTTCTTTTCTTTTCATTGCTCAATATACCTTGGGAAGTGATCAAATAACTTATTTATGCCCTTTCTTTTTCCTTTCAACCTTATCGCCTCTAACTTGTATTTTTTGCATATTCTTTTATCACATTTCATAATTTTAAGAAGGACATATTCAAAAGAGGGTCAACTTAAAAATTGATTTTAATTTTCATTACCCTTGATCAAGAAAAAGGTCATGGGCTCAAAAGGGGAGACTAAGGATGCATGCTTCATTTGGTAGGCTCATTTAGGAAAATATGACTTTTGAAACACCAAGAAGGCCTAAGTTCATCTTTACAACCTGATAACGCTCAAACTACACCTCCTTCGGAAGTATGAAGCGGACGTTGTCAATAAAGAACCCAACTAGAGGTTGGGGTCGATCCCACTTAGAATACGGAAGAATGTAGAAGAACGCTAGTGCTTAAGCTTTTTAGTTAATTATTTCCTAAGAGGGGGAATTTGTAAAAGTAATAAAT